AGAGTTGATTACTCCGCTGAAGGTCACTCTGGCGAGGTTGTATCAGGAGAACAAGGACAAGTTTCATCCACCACTGCCAATTAGACAACCCCTCGAACAGAGGGATCAAACTAAACATTGTGCTTTTCATTCTGATTTCGGACATCAGACTAACGAATGCAGGAACCTGAGGAGGCAAGTGGAGATGTTGATAGCTAGAGGGGAGTTTGCGAGTTATGTTCAAGGCTCGGCGATGGAGCAGAATCGACCAGTGGAACAAATAAAAAGGAGTCATAAACAAAGCTCCCACAATTCGCAACCAGTTCGTATAATCAATGCTATCCATGGTCGACCCGAGCCTAGTGAAGAGCCAGATGAGCTGCTACGGGTGCGCCTGCGGCAGACGCAGATGAAGAAAAGGGTCGGCAATGTGACCACTCTACACCAACAGAGCCCGTCAATGCAGATAAAGTTCGACTGGACAGACCTGCAGCGTGTTCAACTGCCTCATGACGACCCGTTGGTAGTCAGTTTGACAGTGGCAGAGTGCTTGGTGCGCAGAGTTCTGATCGATCCTGGGAGCAGTGCGAATGTTATGCCAAGGGACACATTTGACAGGCTCGACATTAAACCAGAGAGGCTCAAGCCCACCGGAAATCCCTTATTAGGGTTCGATGGGAAGAGGGTGGAACCCGTCGGGATGGTGGAAGTAGAAGTTCAAGCTGCAGAGCGAGCTCTTATGGAAACTTTTGTGGTTGTGGAAATTCACCCCTCGTATAATCTCCTGATGGGAAGAGGATGGATTCACAGAGTCCGAGGTGTACCCTCAACTCTGCATCAGGTCATGAGGTGCCTCGGGCCCGATGGAGATAAAGTGATAGACATTCGGGGGGATCAGGTCGCAGCCAAAGAGTGTTATTCCGTCACACTAAAGCATGCAGGGAAGGGAAAGGCGCCCGTCCGATCGACAAGCCCCAGATAGCAATTACAGGAACCTCCACTCGAGCAGAATAGGGTGGAGGAGTCAGCCGACTTGACCGAGGAGCCCCTTCTGGATGTGCAGATCGATCAGTCCAGGCCAGAACGAACTACCAGAGTGGGTATAAGACTGACCAGAGAAGAGCAGCAAGAGCTAGTGGATTTCTTATCCCACAATGTCGACGTATTTGCATGGAGTCACCTCGACATGCCTGGAATTAGTCCTTCCGTCTCCTGTCATTCCCTGAATGTCAATCCTAATTTCAAACCAGTGAAACAGAAGCAGCGAAGATTTGCTCCAGAACGTAATCAGATCATAACGGAAGAAGTTGATAGGCTGCTTGATGCGGGATTTATCAGAGAGGTGCACTACCCTGAGTGGTTGTCCAACGTCGTTGTGGTGCAGAAGAAAAATGGGAAATGGCGCGTATGCATTGATTTCACCAATTTAAACAAAGCCTGCCCGAAGGACAGTTTCCCGTTGCCTAAGATTGATCAAATGGTGGATGCCACCACGGGGTATGAGCGTTTAACCTTTCTGGACGCATATTCGGGTTATAATCAGATTCCTATGGACCCCGCAGATGAAGAAAAAACTTCTTTTGTCACCGAGCGAGGAACATACTGCTACAAGGTTATGCCTTTTGGATTAAAGAATGCGGGAGCAACTTATCAACGACTTGTCAGCAAAGTTTTTAAGAATCAAATGGGTAAGATTGTCGAAGCCTATATTGATGATATGGTGGTGAAAAGTAGGAAAAAGGATGATCATCTGAAGCATCTGCAAGAGGTATTTGATGTACTAAAGCGATATGGGATGAGGCTCAATCCGACCAAGTGCTCGTTCGGTGTGAGTTCCGGGCAGTTTCTGGGACACGTGGTCAACCGCAGGGGCATCGAAGTTAGCCCCGCTCAAGCAGAGGCTTTGATTAAGAATGCCGAGCCAAAGACGATCAGAGAGGTGCAAGCCCTAACAGGACGAATAGCTGCATTAAGTCGATTTATTTCAAAGTTGTCAGACCACTGCAAACCATTCTTTGACACGATTCGGAGCCATGGAAGGCAGGTCTGGGGGGATGAGCAACGACAGGCATTGACTCATTTGAAGCAATATATGCAGAATCCGCCAGTCCTGTCAGCCCCAGAACCGGAAGAAAAGTTATTTCTATATCTTGGAGTATCTGGTGTCGCGACGAGTGCCGTTCTGATTCGTTGCAAGGAAGGGGTGCAATACCCAGTATTTTATGTAAGCAAAACACTGATGGAGGCAGAAAAAAGATACTCAAAGGCCGAACGGGTGGTACTTGCACTTGTAAATGCAAAAAGAAAGTTAAGGCATTATTTTGAATCCCACCCCATAGCTGTTCTAACACCTTTCCCAATCAGAACGCTCATGCACAAGCCAGAGCTCTCGGGCAGAATGACAAAGTGGGCCATAGAGTTGAGTTCATTTGACATAACGTACGAGCCGAGAACAGCTATTAAAGGGCAAGCGGTGGCCGATTTCCTACTAGAATGTGATGCCGAAGATACGGAAGAGGACCTTAGAAGCGGCTCTTGGAAACTTTTTGTGGATGGCTCCTCTAACCAGACGGGGGCTGGGATTGGGATCAAACTGCAAACCCCAGAGGGTACTTCCTTGAGCCAAGCACTCAGACTTGAGTTCCGAGCCACCAATAATGAAGCGGAATACGAGGCGTTGCTAAATGGATTAAAGTTGGCCAAAGAGCTACAGATCAAAAGTTTGACAGTGTATAGTGACTCACAGCTGATTGTTCGGCAGGTAAATGGTGAGTACGCAACCAAGGATGACATAATGGGGGCATACCGTTCTGCCGTTCTGCGTAGAGCCAAGGACTTTGCAAAGATTGAATTCATACAGTTGCCGAGGGAACAGAATGCAGATGCAGACCGTTTAGCATGCAGTGCTTCAAGTTGCGGTGAAACATTGGCGAGGGTGATTCCAGTGGGAATAGTGACCCAGCCGTCCATTTTCGAAGAACCGATGGTCTCGGACCCTTGGCAAGTCAACGTCATACCGTATGAACCGAGTTGGATTGACCCAATCATTACCTATATTCGAGATGGCGTTTTGCCTATGCAAAGGGATGAAGCTAGGAAACTCAAAAAGAATGCTGCCAAGTACGCCATCGTGCGGAACCAGCTGTACAGAAGGTCCTATTCTGGCCCGTACTTGAAATGTGTCACCCCCGCGGAGTCGCAGCAGGTATTGCGAGCTATTCATGAGGGTGTGTGTGGCAATCATTCTGGGGGAAGATCGTTAGCGCATAAAGCAATGACACAAGGGTATTTTTGGCCAAACATGTCAAGAGATGCGGAGGAGTTCTCTCGAAGGTGCGATAAGTGCCAACGATATGGACCAATGATCCACCAACCACCTGAAGAATTGCACGTAATGGCCTCGCCGTGGCCTTTCGCGCAATGGGGGATGGATGTGGTCGGTCCTCTGCCAACTGCAAGAGCTCAGAACAAGTATGTGTTACTGGCCACGGATTATTTCACTAAATGGGTGGAGGCAGAACCGTATCCTAGCGTGACTCAGACTCAGGTGAGACGATTTATCTGGAACAACATTATCTGCCGCTTCGGTGTTCCCAGAACAATAGTCATGGACAATGGCACAAACCTCGACAGCAGGCAAGTAAGAAAGCTGCTGGAGGAGTATGGAATCAACCAGAAGTTGGCTGCAGTAAGTCATCCTCAGGCTAACGGACAAGCAGAAATCACAAACAGAACCATTTTCGCCTGCATTAAGAAGAAGCTGGAAGATCATAAGGGGAAGTGGTTGGATGAACTCCCGAACGTTCTATGGGCTTACAGAACCACCCCAAGGCGGCCGACTGGGGAGAGCCCGTTCGCGATGGCGTATGGTACCGAAGCAGTTATACCGGTTGAGCATTTAGTCCCCACTATCAGAAGCTTAGCATGGAGTCGAGATCAGAACGACAAGATGTTAAGATTGAACCTCGACATGATAGACGAAAGGAGGGACGCAGCGGCTATAAGGCTAGCATCGTATCAGCAAGTGCTGGCGAATAGTCACAATAAGAGAGTAAAACGCAGGGATTTTGCCCCGGGCGATCTGGTTCTGAAAAGAAAGGTGGGGATGGTCAAAAAAATGATGCCACCCTGGGAAGGCCCATACAGAATTGCAGAAGTCATTGGCAAAGGGGCATATACGTTGGAAACCATGGCGGGAAAGTTGGTCAGCAAGCCCTGGAACGCCACGTCTCTGAAGAGGTACTATCAATAGAAGCTAAGTTCTGGTTTTAATTGGATGTTATTTGTTATCAATCAAATACATATGAATGAGCAAGTTACCGGAATTTACAAAAAAAGAAGAGAAGAATTTTCTTTTCCAATGGTCTACTATAAAAATTTAAAGCCAAGTGGCAAGTGGCATTCTAGCCGAGCGCCAGGCACTTAAGCAAGATAAGTGGCAGCTGGCACTATAAGCCGAACGCCAGACACTTGCTAAAAATTTAAAGCCAAGTGGCAAGTGGCATTCTAGCCGAGCGCCAGGCACTTAAGCAAGATAAGTGGCAGCTGGCACTATAAGCCGAACGCCAGACACTTGCTAAAAATTTAAAGCCAAGTGGCAAGTGGCATTCTAGCCGAGCGCCAGGCACTTAAGCAAGATAAGTGGCAGCTGGCACTATAAGCCGAACGCCAGACACTTGCTAAAAATTGAAAGCCAAGTGGCAAGTGGCATTCTAGCCGAGCGCCAGGCACTTAAGCAAGATGAGTGGCAGCTGGCACTATAAGCCGAACGCCAGACACTTGCTAAAAATTTAAAGCCAAGTGGCAAGTGGCATTCTAGCCGAGCGCCAGGCACTTAAGCAAGATGAGTGGCAGCTGGCACTATAAGCCGAACGCCAGACACTTGCTAAAAATTGAAAGCCAAGTGGCAAGTGGCATTCTAGCCGAGCGCCAAGCACTTAAGCAAGATAAGTGGCAGCTGGCACTATAAGCCGAACGCCAGACACTTGCTAAAAATTTAAAGCCAAGTGGCAAGTGGCATTCTAGCCGAGCGCCAGGCACTTGCCGTACAAACACACAGCAAAGCTAATATAAAAAGAAAAAGAGAGAAAAGATATATATGTACTGAAGATAAGTTGAACAGAGCACAACACATAGAGAAAAAGAGTTCGGCCATTTCATTAATATTGAACATTTAGTTTACAAAAGAGAGGTGTCCATCATTACAAGAAGATATGAACTGGAAGAATTCGAAGGAGCCCTAGCTAGACGCCTCAGTACCAACAGCATCCTGGTCCTGCCGACTCGCCTCCTCGGCCCCATCAGCCGCCTCACCTTCATGAGGTGGGGAATCCAGGTGAATAACTGAGTCGTTCGGCTGGGGTTCAGCGTCAGCAGTGGCTACAGAGGGAGCCACGGTTGACGATTGGGGAGCGGTCAGTGGCAGAGCGGTAGGAGGAGCTGTGATGATCCTTGAGGATGCGATGTCCTGGCACTCATCAAATATACGCTCCGCTTCGGTGGGTTCTGGGTCGACATAGACCCCCAGAGGCTCGATCCCCAGATCCTTGTCTACCTCATCCGGAGTGGAGCTGGTCTGTCCCTCATCCGGAACCCGGTCGGCGAAACCTTCCCGGAATCCTTGAGCATACCGAAGAGCACCGACCCTGGAGAACCGAGCATGAAGGGCCAGCATCCCACCACCCACTCTGCTGATAGCGTCGATCAGAGCGGTACGCTCGTCCAGAGCTCTTTTTTCAAAAGCCATCCGAGCAGACTGTTCATCAGCTAGAAGACGTTGAAGTTCTGCCTTCTCTTCTCTGAGTGATTCCTGCTCAGTCTGCCAGACGCTCTTCTCGAGCTGGAGGGCGTCCTTCTCATCCTGAAGGGAATCATTCTCCTTTTTCAGGACATCTCTCTCTTGCTCGGCTTTGTCAAGCCGAACCAGCACCTCGGTATTCTTCATGGCAAGGAGGTCGTTCTCTTTATTAGCCACCTCCAGGCTGTCAGAATACTTTCGGGCCCTGGCGTTCCCCATTTCCACCTGCTTCTGCATGGCCATCATCCCGAACAATGTCTGCATAGGTGCACAATAAGAACGGTTAAACCAATAGTCAGAACGGGCGAAGGCAAGACCAAGTAATATAAGAGAATTCATGAGTTAGAAAATAAAAGTCACCTCCATAGCAGATTGGGGAAAGCGACTGAACACGTCCTTCTGGGAAAGGCCCTTTGCCGCCTCAATGTCCTTCGGAGTCCACATGCTCCTGTAGTAGGCCATAGCGGTCTGGCCATCCTTCAGCATGGTCTCGTTCGGTTTCACGAACGTCCCATCCGTTCGAGTGTACCGAGGGGCCCATGGCGGCAAGCTGGGGATAGAAGGGGGGCCTGAAGCAGAAGCAGAGCCACCAGCTGCAGGAGGCCCAGAGTGAGAAGGAGCTCTGATCGCTCGGTGCAAGAGAGTACCCGGCCCAGAGACTCGGGTCCTTCTAATAAGAGGCTCCTCCTCAGGGTCGATTTCACTATCAGGATGAGGCCTTTTGCCTCACTCTTTGTCCCGACCGCCCCCCGCAGCAGCAGGAGCTATGGTAGCTGGGGAGGGCGCGTTCTGGTTGGCCGCAGGGGCGCTGGCAGCAGGGTTAGTAGCCACTGCGCTCGGGACAGTGTCAGATATGGTGGCTGAAGAAGAAGCCGACGCTGGAGAGGAGGTCGCCCCAGCAGCAGGAATGACTGGGGGAGTATTTTTCCTCCTGCCAAAAGAGGGAATCTGCAGTCTGCTCATATTGTAGCCGAGTGATGAGAGCGCAAAGAGGTTGTCTGAAGTGAGGAGATCTGAGCAGGAAGGAATATCGTTCAGAACGTATCTCTTCAAGTAGTTAATCCTATCCCTGCAAACACTGTAGCTCAAGTCATCACAAGGTATTCCCAAGGAGCGGCATAAGTAAGTGCAAAAACGAGGAACGCATGTTTCACAGGGGCAGTCATGTTTATGGGATTTGAATTTTTTATAGGAGGAGACAGAGCAGACACCAAAGGCGCTCGGGATTGGGTAATCCTTTGCAGCCGGCGAAGACCAAGCCCCACTAATACCCACTATGCTATCCCTCCAACCCTTTTCAGATTTTATTGTGTCAGTGCATATGGACATCTTCTCGAACGGGTAGAGGTGGTAGAAGGGCTCGTTAGTACGGATCTTACTGACCTTATAGCACAGAAGGAGGTCTATGAGGTCAAGGTCCAGATTTCTGTCACGCATCAATAAGAGCATAACAGATATGATCCTAAAGAAGTTGGGGTTGACCTGCAGAGGGGATATCCCCAATCTGTTGAAGACGTAACTAAAGAAAGGGTGCAGAGGGAACCTAACAACATTCAGTTGAAGGTTTGTGAATAAGACTTCGCCGGGCAGGAGGCCGGCGCCGGTCGTAATATTAACGTCTTGGGGGCAAACCCTAACTACGATGTTGTCAGGAAGTCTAAGTCTCATACGAAGAACACCCAGATCTACAACCATGGTGGAAGTGCAAGAAGAATCTAAAAGAGGGAAAATGGAAGCCTGCCGAAAGTAAAAAGAACGAAACTAACCTCGGAGGACTGCAAGATCGCTGGGAGAATGACTCTCGAAGGATTTCACCGGAAAAGGCTTAGCACAGTTCTAGAAAGAGGGAGATTTGGCTGATGATGGAGACGGTAAAGGGAAGTGAAGTGGAATTCTAGAGCATTATATAGGCAAGGGGGCCCGAGGGCCGAAGCGTCGGGAAGGCAAGAAATCCCTCGAACCCCGGAACATTGATTCTGGATCTGACCGTTCGCTCCCCCACGTGGTTATCTCGAGCCGTCAGCGTCATGATGAGACGCCATCAATAATTACCCCTTATTAAATAAGGGGCAATTATGGGGGCAATTGAGGAGGCCCTGGATGACATGGGCCAGGTCCGACTCGCAAAACACAACCTTCAGTCCGAACAGCTGGGTCAGCCCATAGAAAGACACTGCCATATGGGCCGAGCGGGAGTAAGCCCATCAAGAGTGACCAGGGCTTACTGAGGAATAGGCCCAGGTCCAGCAATTAGTAAATATCTTGTAAATATCTTGTAAATATCTGGTAAGTATCTATAAATAGGAGTTGGAATGAAGAGGAGGTGGATCTTGATTCGGGTTGAGGTGTAAGAATTCTAGAGAGAGAAAGAATAGAAGGAGTTTCTTGCATCTTCAATTACACTATTAATAACTTAATTTTGGACCATTTTAGCATTTATTTAATTAAGTACGTTTAATATCGCAATTTGAATATAATTTTTTTTTTAAAATAATAACTACCAATTAAAATGGGTTAGAAGTTTGGACAATACTTGCCTTAGATTATATAAAAATGAGTTTGTGTATAATTTTTTTAAAAAAAACACATTGCAGCCATTCTTTAACGCTGGAACTTGTTCCTAATAACCTTGAGAACTTCAAAGTTGAAACACTATTTTAGCACCCAAATTTCGAAATGAAATTTTTTTTTAGAGGTGATGATGGTGATGACAAAGAAATTGACACAAAACTCCATTGATCAGTACACTGAATGATCTCTTGCGCATCGGTGAGCAAGATAATTTATTCATACTTCAAATTAGGGCTGCAACTCGGGCGGCTTGCACGGGTTTGAGATATAACTTGAGCCCAATCCATCATATGAAATGCTAAACTCATGCCCATCCTAACATTATCTTCAACCTTAACTACTCAACCTGAGTTCATCCCATCCTTCTACTTTTAAATTCGGGCTTAGATTCCGAGTTAAAATTTCGGGTTAATTCGGGTTACTCATATGACTAATTTTTATACCGAAAATTTAAGAAGAGCGATATTTTATGGGCTCTACTAACATTATTTTTTAGACAAAAATACCCTTTTAAATTATCTAATCTTTCTTCTTTTCTTCTTCTCTCATCTTTTAATCAAGGATGTGTTGTTAGTTATGTGAATGTATTCTGAAAAAGGAAAAAAATATAAATAGGATAATTCATTCACAAGAGATGGATGGATTCAGAAAAAAATAAAAGGAAGAAGAAAAAAAAAAAAAAAAAAAAAGAGCCAGAAAAAAATCCAAAAAAAATAAAAGAAAGGTAAAAAAAAAAATCAATTATAAATTTCTTCCTTTTTTGTTTTTTCATATATATATATATATTTCTTTTTGTTTTTATTTTTTATTTTTACAACTATCCTTCTATAAATGGATTTTAAGAAAAGAAAATGAAATAAAAGAAAAATAAATAATTCATTCACCAAAAAAGAAATATATACGTATATAAAACTAATTTTGTATATATCTTTTTTAAATCTCAGAATCTATCTTGTTCTTTTTTCTTCCTTTTTTTTCGAATTTTTTTCTATCTTTTTTTTTTCAACATCCATTCACATCACATTAGTTATTATTATTATTATTATTATTATTATTATTATATATATATACACATACATACATATATACGCACACATCTCCATATGAATCGATTAAAAGATGAGATAAGAAGAAAGGAATAATTTAAAAGGGTATTTTTGTCTAAAAAGTAATGTTAGTAGAGTCCCATAAAAATAGAAAGTCAAAGTAATTAATACATTTAAAATTAACCAATCCTAACTGTGACTCTGAATGAACATGCAATTAGCACTCCTCAAAATTTAATATGATCTTGAATTAGTTTTATATTAAATTACTCTTAAACAATAAGAAGTTTAAAGATTTTTTGTAAATTTTTAATAAATTACAAACAATTTTTTAGAAAATTAATTCTTCTAAATATTAACATACAAGAAGTTAAGATTTAACAACAAAAAAAAAGTAGAAAAGAAAAAAAAAATCATGGTTTAAATATTATATATAATGTATTTATAAGTAAAAATATATATAAAAATAATATTATAATTCGGATTTGGGTTGACTCAAGTTGCCAGCACTTCAACCCAAGTCCAACCCCAATTAAATTCGGGTTGGGATTTTTCAACACAAGCCCAATCCTAATTGTAAAAATAATTGTCCAAGCCCATAAAAAATCGGGCTGGACTCAGGTCATTTGGATTACCCAACCCAAGTTGTACCTTTACTTTTTATAGTGGCGGTTAGATTAGATCCAATTATCACTTTTCAAACCCACTTGTCTTCTTTCCAATTACTACAAAACCACACTCCCTTTTTTTTTCCCAAAATTAATATTATCAATACCACTCATTATAAAAATAAAAGGAAATATAATTAATTACCAAAAAAGAAAAATTTATCAAAGTACGTAGTATATTAAACCTTTCATCCCTAAGCAGTAGGGGTGGCAATTCGTATTCGTGAGTCGTGTTTGTGTCGTGTCAATGTAAGAATATTATACTAAATAGGTAAACCCAAACCTAACCCATTTAATAATCGTATAAAAAAATTTCAATACTAACCCAACCCGTTTATTAAACAGGTAAATGTATTAACCTGTTTCATGACATGTTTTATCAAAATGAGACATTTAATATTTAATCAAATACTAAATAATAGAAAGAAAAAAAATTGTCATAATTAAACAAAATATTCAAAATAAAAAGAAAAATCATAAGGCATGGACAAGGTTTATGTTGAAATGACTTAACTATCCATAGTAATTAGATTTAAACAGGTAACATATTACATAGGTCATATTTACGTTTATAACATGTTGCCTTAAATGGATTATAAACGGGTTACACGGGTTGAACCCCTCAACTCTAACCTGACACGATTAAGTAAACGGGTTAATCGTGTCGACCCTTTTATGGCCCAAACCTATTTATGCCAAATTCAAACCCTTTTAACTCGTGTTGTGTCGTAATTTGTCACCCCTACTAAGCAGCCTCAAATTAATTCATCCATTGAATCAATATAGATAGTTTGAATGAATAAAACATGGAGGAAAAAAAAAACAGAGAGCAAAAGAACAAAAAACACCCCCCTAAACTATACAATTGTTGCATAATGTCTCCCTGAACTATTTTTGGGAGCAAGTTGCCCCCCTCAACTATTAAAAATAAGCAAAATGCCCCCTTTAAGGTCATCGGAGACAATTTTCTGACTGGCAAAGTGATATAATTACTAATTTACCCTTAGTTATTAATTTATTATAAAAATGTATAATTCATGAATGTGAAATACCAATAATGTCCTCATATTTTTATTTTATTTTTTTCTTCTTCAGTCTTCCTTCACCCTCTTCAGTCTCTCTTTACCTCTTCTCCTTCACCCACGTCTCACCACCATCACCACCACCACCTCACCATAGCCTGGCAACACCAATTATTGCACCGTTGTGAAATCATGTCTTGAATCAAGTCATTGGGTGTGAGGATAGTATTCAGAAGGTCTTTTTGGTTTTGAGGACATGTTAGCTTCCTCTTTGTGGCAAACCTTTCTTCAATGGATTTTTTATCATAAGTCTGCACAACCAAAACAAAGAGTTGACAAAAACAGAATAATCATAAAAACAACAAAGGTATTAAACAACCATCAACAACAAGCATGGCCAATAGTTGAACCAAAAACTCAAGTGCATTAACTCATTAAGATTCTCCTGCTCCTGCTCCTGCTCCTTTCTCACATTTTTGTTTGTCAGTGTTGTAGGATGATAAAGGCCAAAATAATTGAGTCTAAGTGCTTATAATCTAATAAAATCCATGTGATTGAGGTCTGATGACTAACTTAATTAACCATTTTTGGATCATTCAAAATAATGAGGGAACAAAAACAGAACAATCATAAAAACAATAAAGAATTGGGTTATGCCAAACATATAAAATATTGTTTATGTTTATATGGTGTAGTGGTGTTGCTGGCGGTTATGGTGAGGTGGTGGTGGTGAGACGTGGGTAAAAGAGAAGAGGTAGAGAGAGAATGAAGAGGGTGAAGGAAGACTAAAGAAGAAAAAAGTAAAATAAAAATATGAGAGCATTATTGATATTTCACATTCATGAATTTTATATATTTTTATAATAAATTAATAACTAAGGGTAAATTAGTAATTGTATCACTTTGCCGGTCAGAAAGTTGTCTCCGATAGCCTTAAAGGGGGCATTTTGCTTACTTTTAATAGTTAAGGGGGGCAACTTGCTCCCAAAAATAGTTCAGGAGGCATTATGCAACAATTGTATAGTTTAGAAGTTTTTTTTGTTCTTTTTGCCAAAAAAACGAAAGATTGAATGTTCCTCACCAACAAGACAATTACTCCATGACAGAAAAATGAAATTTTTTTTTTAATTTTTTATCCTAGTAATAAGAAAAACAGTCATACGACATCTACAAAGAGTACTATAGCCGTACAAAGACAAACAAATCATGAAGCAATAGAAGAAAAATTGAAGAACGGGCTCCAGATTTGCTGAGAAACAACGCAACAGCGGAAATCACCAAGGGAGGAAAGCAGCAACGGGAGTGACACACAGGTCAGGCCATCATCAAGGCAACTGTTGTCCAATCACAAATGCACATATCATCTGTTATTTCAAATCAGAAAATTAATAAATAAGAAAAATATTTTTTTAAGGAATAAATTCAATCACTCTATGTGTTTTTCTTATTTATTAATTTTTGGATTTTGTAATTATAGGCAGTGTGCATTTGTGATTGGATCACCGGTGAGTAGAGATCATATACTTATTGGTGAGTAGGCAAAAATATTAATAAAAGATTTAAGAAGTTATTTGGGTTAAATCCAATAGGATTCAAATCAAACTCTTATCTAATTATCTCTTTCCCATGCTACTCTATTGCCCTAATCCCTAAGTCTTAAGGAATCATAACTACAAGTATCTTGCTCAAATCAAATCCATGAAAGGAATTGGATTAGGATTTTTGATTGTGGGTGATAACATTTCATATATGAACTAATATTGATTTTGTTCTTTCGAAGCGTGGCTTGGGTTGTTTAGCCCTTCGTTGCCTTCTTCTTGGAAAAAATAAAAATAAAAAAACCAAATTATTTGTGTAAAGGTAGATGCTTACACTTATTAACGGTGTCTTGTCCCACATGTGAAAATAAATATGAATTTATGATTTTCTTATAATTAATCAATCAAAAATAATTCTTAAGAAAACATATTTTATTTTTCTACCAAATCATGACTAAATATTCTATTTATTTATTTGAATAATGTTAATAAGCCTATTTTAACGCAAATATTCTACAGGGAGTGGCTAGGTTTATAGTTAACTTTTAAGTCTCACCATCATCAAAATGCTTAATCCAATTACTTCTACATAATTTTTTTGAGTTTGATTCGGATTTTATCATAAAGAGAAATAATCAAATTAGGATTTGATTCAGATTTTATTGGGTTTAACCCAAATAATTTTTCAAATCTTTTATTTTTTATTTTATATTTTATTGTCGTGCCACACGGGTGGTAAGTATGAAGTTTCTACTCATCGGTGAGTAGGTAAGTATTGTTCTATTTTTTTTTTTACATTACAGGACACTTGTTGTTGCGCTACATCGATGGTAAATATAATTTTTCCACTCACTGGTGAGTAGGTAAGTATTGTCCAAAATTTTTCACTATTGCCCCCGACTCAATGGTTTGATTTTTTATTTTTTATTTATCTTAATGTTGTTAAAGGTCACCCCCTCTCACATAATTTTTTGGGTTCGTCCCTGTACTGGGTGAGCAAAATATCAAAACACTCTCTCTATATATGTACATGTAGCATATTATAATTTAAATTAATATATAATTTTAATCAAACTCGATCACTGTCGATTTGGACCTTTAATCCATATCTAATTTGTTAAAGTGATATATTATCAAGGAAAATGATATTATTGATTACTTTAATATCCCGACTTAAAATCGACATACATAAAAATATGATGTGGTTATTCAAAATTTCAACTTAAATAAGTATCATTACGATTTTTGCTTGTTTCCATAAAATACTCCCTTTTCCTTTCCTAATCTTTTCAATTTTCTATAGTCCATTTTTTTTATCTTTTTAATTTTCCATAGCCATATCATCATCATCTTCTTATTCTTCTACTTTTTTTTTTTTCTCTCTCTCCTCACAGTAAGGTTCATAGTACTCAAATATAATAATTTGATTGGTACAAAATTTAGTGCAAAAACTGTAATGTTTTATAATTTTTCCGTACTCTTGCAAAAAAAAAAAAAAAAAAAAAAAATTATCTTCTTGTCTTTATTTTTAAGGATTAGATAAATCATTACCTTTTTATCATTATAACAATTAACAAATGCCTATCAAAATAATATATGTATATTAATAATAAAAAACATAATCTATTTAGGAAAAAAAAAAAAAAAAAACCAAATACAATCTGAAGTATATAAAACAAATATACAGAATTACATATACATGGTGGTTGAAACTTTAATAGCCAACAAAAATACTAGATTAAAATAAACTTAAAAAATAGATTACAACTTTTAAAATAATCAATTGCCAACAAAAATACTAGATTAAAATAAACTTAAAAAATAGATTACCACTTTTAAAATAATCAATTACTTTATATTTTTAAATGAAACTTATTATATTTGACTCAAATAAACTCAATAAAGTAATAAATTTTTATTTATCAGGTCAAATAATAAGACTGTATTATCAAATTAGATTCGTTATTAAATTTTTTATTCTATTCATATTCGGGTAATCTAATCGAATTTGTATTGACCGCGATTTCCATAGTTACGATAAGAGATTAATATGGTCATTTTCGTTCTTTTTCTTTATTTTAATTCACAATTAATGTTATAATTTTTTCTCTTTCTTTTTTCTCTTGTTCTTTGATCCCATCCTATCAGTCATTTTTTTCATCCAATTAGCATGTAATAGGACCATCCCATCCGTATAATTATGATCTAGTACAATCACGTGCCACTTATTCAAGCAATCAATAATAGCAAATACCTGCACTCTAAGGGCATTTCAGTAAATATCATTGGCATCCCCTCAATCTAAAACCTCATGTCCGAACCGAAGTTCTTTTTGTACCAAACACTACACGGTAAACACCATCTCTCTCCCCCCTTTCTCTCTCTCTATATATGCACAGATATTTCAGCAGTAATTTACAGAGATGGTATCCATTACGTCCACGGAGTTGAATTACCTAGTCTTCCGCTATCTTCATGAATCAGGTCTGTTATTTATTTCATTTTTGGTCTTAATTTTTCTTGACATTAATTACAAAATGAGTACTTGCGTTTCGTTCTCTCTGTAATGTTCTTGAGTTCACAGTCCTTGAAAATGGATCGAGTTAGGGTTTTTTTTAGGTTAGGGTTTTTGGGAAGACCTACTTGTTACTGCCATGACCAAACCCAATGGGCTAAGCTAACTGTTGTGTTTGGCTAACTGGCCGATGCTTGATGCTACATTACAGGACTATAGGTGGATAGTGAATCAATTGGTCTCATTCATGAGTGGGATATGCAAATATTTCCTTGTTTGTTTTGTTTATTCTTGTAGTAATTTATGTTTTCCGATTTTTGTTTGTCATTACTTGATGTGGCGATACTTAGGAGAAATTTATTAGCAAATTTGCAGTGATTATTGCTCAAAGAACCGTGAATTGATAATTTACACACATCAAACAATGTGAATTGACTTATGTAAAAAAAGAAAGAAAAGGGAAATGAAAATTTAAGTAACCTAGTATGACACAATTTGTTGAAAAAACTGATCTTTAAACCACTCATATACTGAATTAAGGGTTTTAATTTCCTATACAATATATATAAGGCGAGTGACAAAACCTTTCCTTTAAAACATTTTCAAATCGCTACTGAGCAGATTTTCTTTCTAAACTTAATACTTATCTACCCAAATGATATGAAAAAAAAAAAAAAAAAAAAAAAAAAAAAAAAAAATTGGAAGAGTAAAGACCTAGTTGGGGGTTTGAATTGCCTAATTTATAAGCCATTACAAGCTCAAATAAAGAAAATAAAAATTGAACTGCTTGCCTTTTTGAGGAAAGCCGCAGGATTTTATCCGACTTAAAAGATTTTTAGTAGACAGTATTTATACTTGCAGTGTAAGTTCACATTACCTTATGGAGAAGATGAAGATATCAACCTCAAAGCTTGAGTATCAACATGGAGTTGTAGGCTTATACCATAATTGTCCCAAGCTTATGCCCGTTTTTTATGTTAGACTAATCTGCACACAAACATATGAACGGGGAACGAAGGTTGACACAAAGTGCAAACCCAAGACGGACCATGGCAGCCCAAAAGTTAAACTTTGTACGGAATGGGAGCAAAAATGTATGTCAATCTCTCACATCTAAGGCTTGAAAATTAATGTGTGTTGAGTTTAATACACATCTAATCATATCCCATCTAAACATAACAGTACTTTGAGGAAGATTAACCTCTAAACATATCTCATCTTATAAATTTTCACAATGCACAATGTCCATTATTACCCAAAATATCAAATAGTCAGTCTTCAATTCACTAAATTTAGGAAGCACTGCTCCTGAACGGTTCAAGTAGTACCATTAAGATAATTTAATGACAACTAAAAAAAAAAAATGCTATTGCTTTTAAATTCAACTATAAAATTTATATAATAAACCATAAAAGTAGCCATCCCATAAATAACCACAACTATTCTCTCAATACAAAAGACACGTAGCGGCAAGAAAGACAGGGAGACAAGAGTTGCTGCCTTGAGAAAATAAGAAAGAGATGGCAAGTGTGAGAAAGAGAGGGTAAATGATTGACAATGACGACTTCTTGTATAGGTTCTGCTGTTTGGGGAAATGGCTTTCTCCATTTAAAAAGTAGAATTTATCCTTGTGTTCATGCTGGTACTTCTAACTACTTCAACTAGGTTCGTTATCAATCTATTTCTGCTGCTGTTACTCAAAGAAGTTTGAGGTGCCAGAGTGAATCCAAACCTAATAGAACAAATCCATGAGTGTCCCTACCTTCATTTTTGACAAAAGCCCACCTTCATTTAGCACGAGATTACATAGCAAAATGGTTGTGATAGAACATTGCCAAGATTAAGAGCTATGTTTTTATTGAAAACCCACATTGAATTAATTAATTAATTTATTTTTAATAGTATTCATCGAAGAGTCTCCAAACGGGAGACACAACCCACCTTTATATATATATATTTGATAAGTAAACCCATATTAAATATGGATCTTTTTGGAACTCTTTATGTAAATACTACAGTTAGCTCTGGGTTCACTAAAATCCCTAACAAAACCGACCAAACCTCCGTATTAGCATCAATCCACTTCTGTTGAATCTGAATTATATTTACATTTATATGTATGTAAAAAAGATAGGAAGTGCTGATGCGTATCAATAGTTAATCAATTGCACTAGTTTTCTATGCCAATTCCAGGAAAAAACTTTTCTCATGCACATGATATGAAAAAATCTGATCTTAAATACTCAAGGACGGAGGACATTAGAAAGCATGCCGAACCATTGAGTGATATATTGGATTTCTTTATATAAATATAGGGCAGCTAAGCCTTTCCATATTCTTGGATGTTAATAGATTTTCAGAAACTAAAACAAATAAAACTCACAGTCTCAACAACTCTCATAATCCCTTTAGATTTTAGGATAGTGTCCATTTTGCTACTATTGGGTCTTATACTGGGTTCCATTTGTAAAAGAAAAATGGACACTATGTTAAAATCTAAAGGGATTTGTAAAGCATCAGATTATGAGAGTTGCTTTTTTTTTTTTGAAAAAACTGATCTTTAACCACTGAGATACTGATTTAAGGGTTTTAGTTCCATATACAAAGGATATAAGATGAGTGTAAAAACATTTCCTTTAAACTTTTCCAATCCACGACAGTGCAGATTTTCTTTCTAAACTAAATACCTAACTTCCCAAATATGAAAAAAAGAAAAACTGGAAGAGGTAAAACCGAGTTGGGGGTTCACATTGACTAGTTTATAAGCCATTACAAGCTCAAATAAAGAAAATAAAAATCGAACTGCTTGCCTTTCTGAGGAAGGCTTCAGGATTTTATTTGATTAAAAAAGATTTTTAGTAGACAGTATTTATACTTACAGTATAAGTTCACGTAGCCTTATGGAGAAGATGAAGATATCAACCTCATGGCCTGAGTATCAACATGGGGTTGTAGGCTTATAGCATAATTGTCCAAAGCTTATGCCCGTTTCTGATGTTAGACTAATCTGCGCACAAACATATGAATGGGGAACAGAGGTTAACACAAAGTGCAAACCCAAGACAGACCATGGATGCCCAAAAGTTAAAATTTGTAAGGAATGGGACCAAAAATGTATATCAATTTCTAACATCTTAGGCTTGAAATAAATGTGTATTAAGCTTAATACGCATCTAAACATATCCCATCTAAGCATAACATTACTTTGAGGAATGATTAACCTCTAAACATAGCTCATCTTATAAATTTTCACAATATGTTTTAGAGGTTGATCATTCGTCAATGTAATTTACATAAAGAGTTCCAAAAAGATCCATATTTAATATGGGTTCCAATTTGCCGCATCTACTACCATGATGTTCCCAATCTTACCCGGGCTTGCATCTTCCTGCTTTTCTCCCTGCGGTCCATATTGCCATAGTGTTTCATCATCCAATGGCTTTTTGGATCCATATTTAATATAGGTTTACTTATCAATATATATATATATATATATATATATATATATAAGGGTATTGGAACTCTTCTGTCCCAAGACAACAAGTGGGGGCCGCATCTACTGTTTGGGCACTCTTCAGTGAACACTGATAAAAAAAATTCGATATGGGTTTACTATAAAAACATAGCTCTTGGGCAATGTTCTATCACAACCATTTTGCCACGTCATCTCCAACTAAATGAAGGTGGGCTTTTGTCAAAAATGAAGGTAGTGATGCTCATGGATTTGTTCTATCGGGTTTGGATTCACTTTGGCACCTCAAATTTCTTTGAGTAATAGCGGCAGTAATAGATTAATAACAGCTAATTGAAGCAATTGGAAGTCTGAGCATGAACACAAGGATAAATTGTACCCTTTTAGTGGAAGTCGTCATCGTCAATCATTTACCCTCCCTTTCTCAACACTTGCTATCTCTCTCTCTTTTTTATTTTCTCAAGGCATCAACTCTTGTCTCCCTATCTTTCTTGCTGCTCTTCGTGTCTTTTGTATTAAGAGAATAGTTGTGGCCATTTATGGAATGGCTGCTTTTATGGGTTATTATTTAATTTTTTTAGTTGAATTTAAAAGAAATTGCATATTTTTGAGTTGTCATTTAATTATCTTGGTGTTACTACTTGAACCGTTCAGGGCACTATTTTTGAGTGTCATGCTTTCTTTTTCTGTCTGTCCCAAAATAATTGTCCACTTTCATTTTTCAAACAATATATTTCACATCTTTCTATATATGTCCTTGGAGTTTAAAATTTCAAACTTGAATATTCAAAATTTAAAGGGCAAATTAGTAACTTTTCAGTGAGACAATGCATGTTCCATATGTTCCCTTAAAAATTACTACTCCCCAAAAGCGACACTTAAATTGGAACGGAGGGGGTACTTAATTCCAGCACAAATAATTGTGTTTAACCCAAATAAATTATAGGCCAAAAATTTATGGAATTTATAATATATTATAATTAATTTAAAATCTTAATAAAATTTGTAGGGGTGTTACTCAGTGATGGAAGAGTACATCTTAAGCACACTCTTCATATGTGGTGCCTACTGGTGCTGTTACTTGTAATTTATGGCTGAAAGGAAGGTAATAAATTACTCTCTCAGTTTTTCTTTCCTATCTTATGAGCAATAAGTTTAAGTTGTGCACTTGGGTTTATGCATTCTTGTAATATCACGGTTTATTGATACAAGAGAGGGAGATACTGTTATCTATTTACCTTGTTGTCTTTTTTGGTGTAATTGAAAATAACCTTTAAATTCCTTTATTACCAAATGTTATTGTTATCATTTTTGTCAATTTAATTTATCAATTGATTTTATATATGGGACTACATTATTTTATTTACTTTGGTTAAGTCCTTGATTACACTGTCATCTTCTTTGATATGTAATGGATATATTCTTTATTTTGAGATCTCTTGTGATAGATACGATAACTTGAGAAGAAAAATACTAAACCGTGTCACCATATCTAATATGGGAAACAAATCCCTCATCGTTTGTGGAATCATTTTGTCCAACTTCCAATATTCATTAGCAATCTTCTTTCTTTTAATTATGTATTATGCATCGTTTTGCCTCATTGTCTATCTCCAGATACCGAAAAATATAATTTCTTTCAGGGTTTGTTTATTTAACTTTTGCTTAGGATTCGAGGCAGGGATTATGACTTTTAATGGCACATTTCTTTTTATGTTGTATGATTTACTATACATTGTTTTGATCTTATTGCTATTTGCTATGTAGTTAATTCAAGGGTTTCCATACTCAGCTTTTTCTTTACAAGACAGATCAATTATTTTCTCTTGCTAATATAAAATTTTAAAGCTTTGCACTCTGCTATTTTTTTAAAGTAGAGATGGATCAATAAATTTCCAAGCAATCCTCTTACCGTGACACTCTGTGCATTTTAATATAATTGTTTCAGGGTTTACACATTCAGCTTTTACTTTAGGATACGAGGCAGGGATAAGTGAAAGCACAATTGATGGAAATTTAGTTCCTCCTAGTGCTCTTGTTACATTCGTGCAAAAAGGAATTCAGTATCTCGAGCTAGAAGCAAACTCGAGTAGTGTAAGCACATTATTTCAGTTATGCCCAATGATTCTTCTATCAAGCAAACTTGTTAACTCTTCAGCTAATTAATGTCTGTTAAGGTTTTCAGAATGATGCAGACATGGACGAAGATTTTTCCTTTCTACAACCTCTGGATCTTATAACAAAGGATGCATACGAACTTCAGAAAATCATAAAAGAGAAAAAGGAAAATCTTCAAAAGGACAAACATGCAGAAAAAGACAAAGATAATGGTGAATTTGACCAAGAACGTAATCAAGAACATGCACGAGAAAGAGAGAAGACTGAAAAGGAAAGACATCAACGGGAGAAAGATCGGCAAAGTGATAAAGAGAGAATAGAGAAGGATAAGGAGCAAGAAAAAGGTAAAGACAAGGAAAAACTACAAGTGGATCCTGTTGATTCGAAAGAAAAAGGCAAAGACAAGGAAAAACTACAAGTGGATCCTGTTGATTCGAAACAAAGGGGAGATGATATCAATCCTGTTGATTTAAAACAAAGTGGAGATGAGATCAACGCAAAACATGAAGAAAATGGAACTCTTGGAGGTAATCTTCACTACTTCTTTACATCCAAAATTTTTATTGGAAATCTGTCATTTTGCTTCATGTAGCTCTTCATTTTGAAATTGAACCACTAGTTACATGTCGGGTTCCATAGCTTGAGTTGTATCTGGGGAGGACCCTAAGTAGTTGGTTAGCAGTTCAAGCCTGTCAGATTTCTTAGAACAGTAAAGATGATTATGGCATGATGTCATCAAGAACATCACAAAGAAAAAGGAAATAAAAAAATTTACAAAGAAAAAGGAAATAAAAATTTTATTGTTAAAATTGGCGCTTTTTCTAAAATTGTTTCCTTTTCCTTTATTAATTCTTTTGTTGTGATAAAAAAGCACCCAAAGGTTATTGCTAAAAGGGAATACTGTTGGGATGATGTAAAAGGGTTGGCATATTCCGTGAGCAAAAGTCTCCTTAGGTCAGTTGTGGCTGTGTTCTCAATTGTTTCCTCGATACTGCATGAAGAATAACCTATATTCAGAGTTACAAACAGATTCAAGTCATTCCATTATGTATCTGATTGATCAAGGATATGTCTGACCAACTGAGGTATTTCCAGTATGCTCTCATTTGATTGAAGCTTTTCCCTGAACCGATTGAGAACATATCAGTTCACCAGGTTCCTATTTCGGAATGTTCTCTAAAACTTCAAAACTTGTTGTCCGTAATTGATAAAGGCATACGTGGTTGAGAGCCTTTTTATTTATCATAAAACATTAAGATTATCATTAATCATCCTTTTTTGCTTTGGTTACAAAAATCTTGGTTTGAGATGATAGATTGATCTTTAAAGAATCTTCAACCGCAACCCTAATAAAGATATATTAACAAAAGATTTGGGGTTGAGTATTGAGTGCATTAACCGACTAATGTTGTACTCGTTCTTCTCCTGATGGATTGTTGGCTCAGCGAGGTGCCGTGATTTTTTCCCATTGGTTTTTTTAGTGTAGAAAGTGTTATGTGCCTTTTTTCCTTTGTGTGATTATTAATCTGATTTAATTACATGTTTACTTGATTAACTGATTAATGTAGTTAATTACAAATTGGGCATAATCTATGAACTTGCCTTATTCATCTCCCTTGTGATGTTGTGGCCCAAAAGGAAAAATTTTGACCCGGGTTTTGCTTGCGGGTCATGGACCTTGTTTAGTACTCTCTTGTTGCCCAATATATAAGGGCGCTTAGGGTTTGGAGTCGAATTATTGAGAGACACTGAAAATCGCAAAAAATAGAGTGAGCAAGAGCTAGGGTTTGGGGGCTGAAACTTGTAATCTCCATATTTTTGCATAGTGAATTCTTTCGCCGGATCTTCACCGTGGACGTAGACTTTGCCAAACCAAGCTAAATCTTTGTGTTCTTTGTGTGTGGTATGTTTATTTTCTTTCGTGTTTCTTGGTTATTTCTTGGATTCGCTGCATTTGTTGTACATCCCTCTATGTCCTATAATCCCATTGTACCAAGGATTTTTTAGTTGGTATCATAGATTCCTTTGTTACTCTCACTCTTATAGACCAAGACATATAAGACATCTGACTGAATACATTTGCAATTTTTCTCCCTATTGTAGTGTTTGACCTAAAGCTGTAATATATGGTGCACATGGACATTTGAGCATGTTTTCATGTATGCATGCTGTTAACAACCATCTACTCCAAAAGCTTAAGATGTTAGAGAGGGTGTAACTTTAAATATATAAATCCTTCAATATGCCCCCTCACGTGTGGCCTTCTTTTGGTCCAACAAGTGTTTTTCAATTTTTAATTAGGGTGACGGTGATGTTTGAACTCGAGATCTTTGGCTCTAATACCATGTTCACAACCATCTACTCCAAAAGCTTAAGCTATTAGAGAGGATGTAACTTTAAAAATATAAATCCTTCAACACATGCATATGTGGGAAATGGCTAGATGGTCAGCTCTTACATGTGTGAATAGGCAGCCATTTTTCTAACATGCTACATCATTTAGGAACAAATGGCTTGCATTTGGGCCAAAAATTTATAAATGTGCTAGCTCTTGTTTTAGCCAGTCTACACCTAAAGTGTCAGCCCAAGGACTCATCTGGCATTGATATGTACCATTCATTTGCAGATCATTTAGGGCCAATGTATCCTGAGACTACAGGTAAGCAAAATACAATGACAGTGATCTAGAACGATGTGACTCATTTTAGCTACCATGCATGGTCTTTGTGGGCTCCTATTTGGTGTAGACAGGTCAAAGGTGGGGCCTTATATGTTGAAGAAAGTTAGGACCAAGTGCATGTCATGAGTTCACTTTACATGTGCAATTTCGCCATTTCTTCGTGCATATACTTGGCCCATTGTTTGATGTTGCATAGTTATTTCCTTATTGCTCATTGAAAACATTTATTGCTCTCTCCTCACACACAAAAAAGTTACTCACATAACACACATCATTCACTATATACTTATTTTATTCCATGCTCTAGGTGTTGTTTTTAAATTTATTACTGAAGTATTATCTTCTGTTTGATAAAACTAAAAATTATGCACTGAATATTTTAAGTGCTGAGCATGAATTGAGAATTTCTTTGATACCTCTATGAATTTATGGTTCAGTGACAAGTGAAGTCTCCCTCAATTTACCACACATCTTAAGTGGTATCCATTTTGGATTTTAGAATTATGTGCTGAATCGAGTTATCATTCATTTTGTTGTGATGAAAAACTAGGACCAGAACCAATGGAAATCTCCACAAGCTCAACATCCTTCCCTTGTGAAATTCCAAGTTGTGATGTAACAGTTCTGGAAGGCCATTCCTCTGAGGTTTGGTTGCATTTCTAGATTCTACATTTTTGTTATTAAATTTCAATCAATTATTTCACAAGGTTTGTTCACTTGGCTCCATTCCTGACAGGTTTTTGCATGTGCGTGGAGTCCAACAGGTTCAGTTCTTGCATCAGGGTGGGTATCTTTTAGAAGGGATGCCTATTACAGCAGCTATCAGATTTATGGTTTCTGAATATTTTAATTATCATTAAAAATCCTTCTCTCTCCATTCTCAAGAGATACTCCTCCAGACCATTTTAGATCATATTCAGCACACGGTTAAAATATGCTTAATTTAGTTGCTTAGATCCATTGGGAAGATTCTAGAAGAGGTACCCTTTAACCATTTATCCAGGGTAACTTCAGGTAAATTAACAGCAAACTGGATGTGCTAAAGTGAGAGTATTTCTTAACCTGAAATAATGTTATTGCTGATTGGACAAGTCTAGCTAGGTTTTTGCTATCTTCATGTACTTGTGGCCTGTAGTCTGTGGCTCAAAAAAGTTCGAGTTATTCTGCTGATGAGGTTGGTGATAAAATCAGGAAAGGCATACAAATACTTCTACTTCTACTAATAAGAAACAAAATTAATGAGAGTAAGTTGGAGTTGAAGTCTGGTAGCATACAACTTGTATGATCTGATACTAAAAAGTTTCACTGATGGAGCATGAGAATTGGAGGGTTGGTATGGCTGGAGCTTTCTTGAGAGATATATTACCAGCTGTCCAAGAGAATAAGTAGGTGGTGCCAAGTGGACTTCTTATTCAGCATAGTCAATTTTCATTGGACTCCAGGCCTAACCACACTCTCCATATTACTACTGTCATTTTCCTTTGTTATATAATTGAGTTTCCATGCCAAATTCATTAATATTGAATACTATACTGCTTAGTGAATGAATCTTACTATAAAAAGAGCTATGTTACCCACCCCAGAATTTTAATGTTGACACCACACGACACTGATGTTGGCATGGGTTATGTGTCAGACAGTAGTATCACATATTCAGACATGTGAGGATGAAAGAATAAAAAGAAGATACACTTGCTTGAACTTTACAAAATTAGGGTTTTCAATTGTCAAAGTATATTGTTCAGTTAGGGGTCAACAATCATTAAAGTCATAAATTTTTTGTAGTAATATTTGGTAGGAGCAAATTATGATTTGGTGAATCTCACACTTCAAATGTCTGGTACGCATACCTGATATAGATATTAAGTCCATATAAAATGGGAATGAGTTTTCCTGTTAAAAAGTTTGAATATATTATTTTTTGGTCCAAGAGGAATTTTGGGTCACGAAATGGGGGGAGCCCCAGCCCTACCCATAATACCTCTCCCCTCAAACCCAAATGTAGACAAGACTCTATTGTTAGGTCTCTAGTTGCCATCTAGCTTAGCTGACATCTTTCAAGTCATGACTTGATACTAATCATGTTTTAATTATATTCCAACTTATGAAAATTCCATGCTAAAACTCTCATAGCTTATATAAGAAAATGCTTCTTGACCATTGTGGTTTATTGCTCTTAAGATCGCTTTGTGAGGTTTGTTTTGGGTTCACTCACTTTTGAGCCTTCGCCATTTGGTGCAGATCTTCAAGTTAAACCTGGCACATAAAATGAATTTCTATTTATTTAGTTTCTCATCCAACATAGGGCACATAAAATGTTGGCAAACCTGGCACATAAAATGTTGGCTATGGGACCACACATGTTCCGTACATAATACCTTCTAATGAGCTGGAATTAAGATATCCCTATTTTATAAATAAAAAAGATGACATAAATTTGGAGGTCTTCGATTCTTCCAAGTCCAAATTCTCTCACTTTAACACTTGTTTGCAATTTTTTATTTCTAGGTCTGGAGATTCAACAGCTCGAATTTGGACGATTCCAGATGGACCTTGTAGCTCTAATATGCAAGATGGGCCTCTAAATGCCGTGGTCTTGAAGCATTTCAAAGGTAGAACAAATGAGAAAAGCAAGGACGTGACTACACTTGATTGGAATGTGAGTTTTTATTGAAGGATTATGGGTGATAATATCCATATTTCCCCAAAAAAAAAAAATGTAATAAAAAAAAAATGATATCATCCTTTACCTATATGTTACCATCTTATGTTGAGGTTTGTGTTTACATGCATGTTGTTGTAGTCCGGAACTATGACATAATTGACTGGCTTTCTCTTGTTATCAATGTTTTGTAGGGTGAGGGGACACTGCTTGCAACGGGTTCTTATGATGGACAAGCAAGAATATGGAACAGAGATGGTATGTTGTCTCACTAATGATTTTCGTTTATGTTTGCTGTGGATGTTTGTAACATCAAGATTAGGAACCTTTGCTGGTGATCTTTGTTAGATGGTACCATTATATTAGAGCAAAAAAAATAAAATAATAAGAAGAAGAAAAAAGAAAGTAGTAAATAAAGGAAACTTTAGCAGCAAAGGAAGTGAAGAAAGAAACTTATTGATCTCTAATTTCAAATTTTGGAAATAGTGTTAGGATTTGGTGATTCATGTTTCTTATTTCTGGTACCTGCAATTTATTACTTGAAACTGATAAATATATTAAGGTGCGGTCTTGATATCCCCAACTTGAAGTTGCAATGATTATACAAAAAATGAATTTTTTAATTTTTTTTATTATTATCCAAAAGCTTGAAGTTGCAATGAAAGGCCACCGAGCGTTCTTTTCTTTTCTTTTTATATCATTTTTCATTTGAGAGGGCCTATTTCCGTGCCAACATGGCTGCTTCCTTGGCTCACAATGTCGGAAAAATGATAATTAGGCTGTGTGAGATTTGGAAGCGACCATTCTAGCTGTGTGATCAGCAATTACCTTTTAATTACTCTAAGATATAACTTGTTTTATATGGCCAATTCCTTTAAAACTTTTGAGGAAATGCATCAAAGACTTGCTTGTATCTTGGAAAGAATGATGATTAGGAAAGCAAAATGCTTAAAAGGGCTTTCTCTCTATCGATTTTTTTTGGTTGTGTTTCCTTACCTTTATCCAAGGTCCAGATGGAACCTAAAGGGGCTTAAGTTTGGAAGTGAAAATTTATACATATTTAACTATGCTTTACAATTTTTTGTTGGTCTTAGATTTTTTTTTTTTTAATATTATTTTTTTATGGACTAGTTTATAGAGTGAACCAATCTTTTATGCAGATGGTGTAAAATCAAGACCAGATACTTATGCATTGTTGTGGCACGAGTTCTTGGATTAAGTGCTTACTGGAATGGAAGTTCTGAAAAATGTAGTTCACATGTGTAATATATACTACATAATTACTAATACAGGCACTAAATATTTATACAGAATAACTTCTTTACTTGAGATAGCTTTCCTAAGTTTCTTGACAAATTTTGTTGTCCAAGGAGTGTTTCAAGTAATAGTTTGGGATAAATATATGTATTACTGATTTTTGTTGTTGTTCTACTTTATGTTCAATTATAAATTTTGGATAGTTACACAAGGGTCTCATTCTGTACTCAAGCAAGCTTGCTTGTTCATGGTTTACTTACTAATGGACCTTCATCCAGGAGAGTTGATGAGTACTTTAAATAAGCATAAAGGGCCTATCTTCTCTTTGAAGTGGAACAAGAAGGGCGATTATCTTCTTACTGGTAGTGTGGACAAAACTGCAATTGTTTGGGACATAAAGACGGGGGAATGGAAACAACAATTTGAATTTCATTCAGGTGCTTTAGTGTCCTTACACATTAAGTTTTCTAGATGGTATATTATTCCTTATTAAGTGAGAAATTCTCTGTTTTTCTTCTTATGTTTATCCTTGTATGTTATAATCAAGTTTATATTATTTCTCAGCTCCCGCACTCGACGTTGATTGGCGAAACAATGTTTCTTTTGCAACATGCTCCACGGATAACATGATACATGTCTGTAAAGTTGGAGAGAACCGCCCAATCAAAACTTTCTCAGGACATCAGGTTTGTTCAAGCAGGTTATTGGTTGATCTTTTCTTTTCCCATGATCTGCATATTTTATCACATTACTTTTCGGAGCAAAACTCGTGATTGAATTATTTGGTCATTGTTGTTCTGTTAATTGTTGATGCTGAAGCATGTTACTTTTGGAAGTAATCGTTGAGTAATGCCCGTTGTAGTGTCTGCTTGCAAGTGACTTGTCTTAGAATTGCCTGGATAATAGTGGGATTAGAAAATCAACAAGCCAGTTTGGGTTATAGCTTCTTAGTATCAGAACTATGAATTTCATGGCTAGTTACAGTTCTGGCTCGGTATAACTAATTGCTATTGAGTAATACAAACAATTATCACCAATTAATCTAAACATGTAATGATTGATTGCCCAAAGTAACACAAACATTATATCTTGGCTACTTTCTTGGACATTTCTGAAGCTATGGAGTTTGGGGGATTTTTTCATAATTTTGTAAAGTCGTTCTAAATATCTGACACATTTCTAGTCTTTCTTTCTCTTTTTCTTTTTTCCTAATATCAGTTGCTTCCGGAAAATTTTGGTAGATTTAGAGAAACAAAATCTGCATAGAGAATTATGTGAAATCTTGTGGAGTGAAACTAATAAAGAAATTGATACTGCTGCCTGACTGTCCTCTAATCTTTTTGAAACTGTGCTACTTCAGGGTGAAGTTAACGCTATTAAGTGGGATCCTACGGGTTCACTGTTAGCTTCTTGCTCTGATGATTCCACTGCAAAGGTGATTGCCCGTCTCTTTTAACTTGTTTTCTGGTGGACAAAGTATTTTACCTACTACAGATTAGTGACTTTGTTTATAGCTTTTTTGATGTGCTGGAGGATACAAGTTATTTGGTCAATTTCCATTATTCATTTATAGCCTGGCATACTTCAAAATTATTACATGTCTTCTTAGCATAAGAAAATAATTCATATTGTGTTTTCTATGAATTAATCATATTGTCTGGAATTGGGTTGACAACTCCTATGAAATCATGATGCAGATATGGAGCATGAAACAGGAAACCTGTGTGCATGATTTGAAGGAACATGCTAGGGTACAGATTATTTTTTTCTGCCATTCCATACTTTTGTATATTTAACCACTGGTTTTTGTTAGTAAAATAGCTATATCATCCTGCAGGAGATATACACCATCAGATGGAGTCCTACGGGGCCGGGTACCAACAACCCTAATCAGAGATTAGTGCTGGCAAGGTAAATATGCTGCTCCTCTAAAAATTACCCCCCCGCTGCCCCCCCGGGGGGGGGGGGGGGGGGGGGGGGGGGGGGTGGTGGGGTGCACGGGGGGTTTCAGGCTTGTTTGATCTCACAGGGTGGGTTGATAATCATCCTTAGAAATTGGCACATCCTGCTCTACTGGATTATGGACATTTGCAATTCAATATGATTGAAGAATGTTGTTAGTCACAGGAGTTCATAAATAACTATATCTACTAAGAAGGATGTCAATTAGTTTACATTGCATTAATCATACAAAAAGAGTTACCAAAGTTAGGCCCTTCCATGCCTAGGCCTGCCATGATCCATCATTATAGGGGTAATTATAAAAAAGAACTCTAGTCAGATTGTCCTAAAATAACCATGTCCAAACTCAATCCACTTCCTTTGCATTTCTGCTGACACTAGATATGTATACCGATTGATAATTTAATGATCTTTGTAATAGTTGTTCGAGAAAAAATTATTAATTCTCAAACTCAGATGAGGTCAAAGAAATCATTATACTCTTGTTTCAATTCCAAAACCTTTTTAAGTCTATTAAAAGGCCGCTAGCCAATTCTAGTCCTTCCTATGGTGGTATAATTGCTCTGACTTGAACCCCCATTCTCAAGCTTATCAATCTGAGCTTTTTATTATTAAGACAAGCATGGCCTCCCTATTAGTATTTAGCCTAATTAAAACTAGATGGGTAATGAGCTATCTAGTGCCAAAGGCATGGTCTGTATCCAATCCACCCCTCCCAGTTAGTGATCTATCTCAAATTTTTATATCAAGTATCCAGTGCATGCCTCTGAAACAAAGCTTGTCAGAATTGGTTTTCTACTTATAGTGGTAGCGAGACTTCAGATCCAACTATCATTGCCAAATTGAAAACTATAATTTTCTGTGAAATGGAACTTCGGATATCATGATTGTATATTTAATCAATCATGAAAATCATTTATGTATATAACCAATCTTTTAGATGTAACAGAGAACAATACTTTGGATAGAGGTCCATGGTGATAATGGACCCATTTAGGCAACCCAGGTAGTTAAGATTCAAGATTTCTTCAATTAAGTTGTATATAAAGCAATTTGGGAAGGAAATGTCTATTAAAAAATAAGCAATAGGAAAGGAAATAAGAGCCTGTGCTTGCAAAGGTCCTTTAAATCCTACAAACAATTACATAAACCATACAAATAGGTGAATTGCTAAAACAAACGATTCCATGATCCACCTTGAATAAACAAGCATCATACTCAAGAGTCATATGTGCATTATACGGATATTAAGAATTTTTTAGGGATAAAATAATAAAATAAAAGTAAATGTTTTATATAAATATTTGTCAAAACTCAAATGGAATATGTGATATGTGTGTGAGAGAGAGTTTACTGGTCAAAATTTCTATAACAATAGATGTACTTGATGTCACTTGATAGCAAGTAGACACTGCAAAGAAGGAATAAACACAGCGAAAAAGAAATGAGAGACTAGTGGCATGAAAAAATATTCATTGGGAGGTCTTACAGCTAAGGCAGCTCTTCTGCTTCTGTGCTCAGACGAGAGAACCTTAACTCTGTTTGATCTAACATATCTCACTAATACTACGCCAATTCTTAAACAATTATGTGCCCCTGAAATTTATTTGGGATTGATAGGCTCAAGGATTAATAATCCAGTGATCCAAAGGTGTCAACTCATGATCCGCTTGATGCCACTCATTTTACAGAAATTCTCAAAAAGTGTGCGTCCCTGCAATTTCAGTTCATTCTGTCTACAGGATCTAGCATTGGACAATCCTGCAATCCAAATTGTCATTTTAGCAACCTTGCTGATATATTGTACTTGTGATGTGAAGGGAGGTCACTATGAGGAAAATTTTAATCAGAGAACCAGAAATCCATTCTAATCAGGCCATCGCATGGCTATTTTATTCGCACTTTGGTAGTTCACTTCAGTCTTATTTTATGTTCTTACCTTCAAGTAAATGTTTGGCCATTCTATTAAAGGTTACCCTTTTAGAGTATTGGCCAAAGTTTGTTTCTGGGGTAAAACTGTTTAAACAGTGTCCATACTACTTGTCCATCCCTAAACCACGGACATGGTTGATGTATTGATTTATGGTAACGCCGAACACGGTTCTTGTTGATTTTGTTCCAAATAAATCACAAGTCCAGAATCTGAGCATTCAAAGTCAAAAGTATGAGATTGACAGTTACACAGAAGCAAATACAATAAAACTTACTCAGAAATCCACTTTTTCATTAATCTAGGCATCTTCATTACAGAAGAAAAAATACATGCCTACGCTGTGTTATTGCAAAACAAAAAGAAAGGCAATATTTAATTCCATACTTTCTCTGCTGCATTATTCATATATTGTTGTTGTTTTGAGCAGTGCCTCCTTTGACTCAACAATAAAGCTATGGGATGCGGAATCAGGGAGCCTTCTGAGTAGCTTGATTGGCCACAGGTACCATCACAGTCCTTGAAATAAAACTGTTTGGGAGCTCTGTGAATGCCCCTGTTATAATGTTCCAAGATTTAAACTACAACAGAGCTCGTAGTTTCTACAACACTGTTTTTGTTAAGAGTGTAATGCATTGAGTGCCTACAACCATCAAATGCTTGATGAAGGATTTGTGCCTTGAACCTTGACATGTTCACATGCATCGGGAATCCTGTTTTATGTTTTAAATTGTTGGTTAACGCATGCCATATGCTTTGCTGATCATCTGAGTGGTGTAAACTTAGAGATCTTCCTAGGGGTCTTCCCAAGCATTGCTTATAGATGTCATTCTTATGAATGTTGCAACAGTAAGAGTTTATGGTACTTGTGAGTATCTAATGGATTTTCCTCTATTGCATTGTCAGGGAACCTGTATATTCTGTCTCATTTAGCCCAAACAGCGAGTATTTGGCCAGTGGATCATTGGATAAAAGCATTCACATATGGTCTGTGAAGGAAGGCAAGATTGTGAAAACATATACAGGGAAAGGCGGCATCTTTGAAGTTTGTTGGAACAAGGAAGGTGATAAGATTGCTGCTTGTTTCTCGGACAATGTAGTTTGTGTCTTGGATTTCCGGATGTAGAACTTGAAGCCTTACTTTGAAGTATCTTTGACAATAATGAATGGGCTCTTTTTTGTACTGTTTTGCTATCAAATGATGCTCATCTATGTCGATGGAGAAGATTGGCTCGAACCACCAAGTTTAAGGATTTTTAATTGTACTAATACAACAGTCAGGTTGCCTGTGATGGTAGCAATGCTCCTGTTCAGAATTTCTTTTACTTCTTTCCTTTGTAGTTAATACAACACTTGGGGCTAGTCCTTGGATCATGTGTATCCTAAGGTGAGAGTGCCAAAGAAATTATTAGATGGTCTGGGATTTACATGGTCGGGGACTTGCAAGACCCCGAGCCATATAATAATTTTTCAGATCCCGCATGATCCAATCATGATGGAACGGTTGTAAGTCACCAGCAGCCCTTTTATACAGATCCATTTGTAATTAGTTTTCTGTTTAGTGTTCTAGCCATTCAATGGATGCAAGTGTATGATGAAATTTTGAATATAATGAATAAATCATATACTCTAAAGTCTGGCTAAACAGGAGTTAGGTTACCAAATTTGTGTCCAATGGATAAAGAGTTGGTAAGTATCGTCCATTTTCTTATTTCAATGCTTATTAGTGTCAAGTTATTTTGTATAGATTTTTTATTTTTTTATTTTTTTATATTTTATTATTATTATTATTTTGTGAGAAGACCCGAATTTGAACACACCCACTTTGAGACTTTGAGAATTGAACGATGTAGTAATTAAGAGATTATTTTGAGTTTCAGACTATTATCTCTCGAAATCACATGTACTGTTGGCCAAGTCCAATCTTGTTTCTAATAATTGTCACAAAACAAACAAGTCCACTTTCTATGTATAAACTTGTCTCCATGCAATTTGAATAAGCCTGACACCATTACCGAATTGACTTTTAGTTCTCGAATTATAAATTCTAAAGCATGAGATATACGTAGTTTGATACAGTCCAAAAGTGTGAGGCCTCGTGATAATAAATTGACTAATAATGCTAAGTTTTATGTTAAATTATATTTTTCACACTTTTAAGTTCTGTTTGATTGGATGTAAAATATATATATTTTTATTTTTAGTGTTTGGATATTTACATAGAAAAATAATACAAAAATCTTAAAAGAAATAATTTACTCATGAATTTTCAAATGGTTCTTTTACACGCATTACTGGATGAATTCAACCTCGACCTCGATATATGCTAAAAACCGAATATATATATATATATTATACCTAAAAAAAAAATTTACATCGAAACAAACAAACAAACAGAGCCTTAAATGTAAAAGTTCGGAGTTCAAATTGTGGGTGTGTGAGATTTTGTCGCTATAAAAAAAAAAAATATATATATATATATATATATAATAAATAATAGTAATAATAATCATCAAAATCCCGGTAGTCACCTAACATTCAAAAACACTTGCCATTCAATTACCCGCCAATCTCAGGAAAAAAAATGTTAGTTGAAATTAAGAGAAGTCAGAGCCCACATCCTCCAATCCTACTAGTCTTCTCTCCCCGAGTAACAGTAGACCATTAGCTCTCTCTCTCTGTCTCTCTCTCCCTCTCTGTCTCTCTGTCTCTCTGTATGTGTGTCTGTGTGGGTGAGATTGGCCATGTACAGACCAGTCTATTCGCCTCTCAGGCACCATTATCCTCACCGGTGGCAGGAATCGTGGGCTCGCTTGCTAGCTCCGATGACTCTATGGATATGCGGCATGTAATTCTTATCTTCTTTGCAATTTTCTCTTTGACAATTCCGTATTCTCAAACAAGCATATTTCTCTCAATTTTTGCAGTTTCTGTGACATTAAAGTATGGGTATTACGGCAAGTGTCATATGGTGCTAGGTCCTAGCTCGTCGCGATTGTTTCAGGCAAGTTCCATCTTTGTAAAGCAAGTTGAAGTTATAGATTCCGATCAGAAGGGAATTTACCTTTATGGGTACTCGGAGAAGCCTGAACTGACCTTGGAAACCAATTGGAGTGCGTCCAATTATGTCATTGTTGGACCATATAGTCACAAGGTATAGCATATAGTACATGAAACATCGAAACTTTTGATATGTCACTCAAGTATAGACTATGTTTCTAGTAGATTTATAAATTGGCTTTTCTTTTTTAGGGTTTCTCTTTGTGGCTGAACAAGGGTTCGAGGATCAGGATGAGATGGGAGGCTCAGACTAGTAGTTTGAGACAACTTGAAGTTTCTCTAGTTAAAGGTAAGTTCAGATTTAGCTATTTTGTTAAAATGATTATCAAATTAATTGAAAGTTCAGATCTGTCAATTAACAGATGCATACATGTCTTCAACAGGGGAGCGCGAATACGAAACTTTGTTGCCAACTTCAACAAATTACCCTCATCCCCATACCCTCAAGGAACCAACAGATGGTAAGAAACTTAACTGTTTCGAATAATAAGGGTTTGTTTTGTTCGGTTTTTTAAACGTTATTAAGAGAACTATAAAAGACTGTTATTTGAGAACCAAGCACGTTCTAAATTTCACAAGATTTAACTGCTCCAAATCAATATATTGATTTTGGTGTTTGGGAAATTATAATATATGAATTGGATCTGATAATTTGGTTTCATTGACTTTTAAAGTCTTGAGATTGTCCTAATAGAGAAGAAAATCTTGGCTGCTCTTACCTGTTTTCTGCATTAATTCCAAAACTCATCCCTGATATCTTCCCATCTTATTTCTACTTTTTTCGATAATTGGGTGTTCAGGATATTTTCCTGACTAATCTACGGGACCCATATAAGGCCCTCCACACAGATCGGTAAAGCTCGGACTATGTCCACAGACATGACCCCTAAGGAATTGTTTACACCTAAGAGAAATCGAACTTGAAACCTGATGATTCATGAGGCACAGGGCCCAAGTCTTCTCCAATTAGGCCGACCCCTAGGGGTTTCTCTTATTTCTACTAGTCTTCTCCAACTAGGCTGACCCCTTGGGGTTTATCTTATTTCTACCTACTGTCGGAGAAATGTAGCAGTTACATTAACAGATGAAGTACTAAACTGAAACACATAATGCACACACCGATACAATTTTCAGGTAGAGAAGCTGAATATGCTATTGTGGAAGATGACAAGTACTACGTCGGCATCATAAACACGAATCCTAAGAGCATCATAATGGTCATGAATGTCAACGTCTCATCAAAGATGTATGATACAACTAAAGCAAAGAGCATGTGTTCGACGATGAATGGATCATGTCGCCTTGGTCTTCTCTTCCCCAACACACAATTTGTCACAGTAACAACACCCAACAACGTAAGGCCATTGTCACTTCTCTCACCCACAAGAGTATGCTAGGACTTTCTCGAGTACTAAACCTATTCATTGATTAACTGCAGGGTGATCTTGGCGGATGGTATGTTGAGCTTTCTTTCGTGGCTCGTATTGTAACCTATATTGCAATTTTAGGTACTATGTTAGACTCAACAAATGTACATTTTAATGCCATTGGTTTCTGATAGCACTATTAGATAGTAGCTGATTTTAGCTTTTTGTTCATGGTTTTGCAGGATTTATTGTGATTGTTCTTTTCCTAGTACTGAAGTACCTTGGAGCCTGTGATGGGGACAATAATCATGAAGAGCAGCCGCCAGTAAGAGAGATAACTGAAGCCGATCCTCTGATGCCGGAAAAGCCAATTCGATTGCCATATGGAACAGGTGAAGAGGACTTGGAGTCTGGATCATCTACCTCTTCAGAGGACTTGTATGACGGGAAGATTTGTGTAATTTGTTACGACGAGCCAAGAAATTGCTTCTTTGTTCCTTGTGGCCATTGTGCCACCTGCTATGACTGTGCCCAGAGGTAAATTTCCGAAAAGAGTTTGTTTTGCTGTCTTGAAATGTATATATATATTGAGATCTAAGAAGAGTTGTTTTTGCAGGATTATGGATGGGGAGAGCAAGATGTGTCCAATATGTCGAAGGCTCATTCACAAAGTAAGGAAATTGATAATTCCCTAGAACCTAAATCTTAGATTGTGATCTTATATGATTACTAACATGGGCATTACTTAGTGGCCTAGTTGGTAGAGTGCTCAACTCCCTGAGTGGATGTGCCCTTGTGTTTGAGTCCCCCCTCCCCCTTAGTTTTCCGGGATTAAAAATATATATATATATATATATATATATATATATAGATCTAGTGTGATTTGCTTGGGAAATTTTATGTAAGGAATGAATGTGAGTTCTTTATAGTGAGTGCCTAAGTCCATTGTCTAATGGCTCACCACACTACATGAATAAATTAGTTCAATGGAATTTGATGACATGAGAAAGATTTTCTGTTGATGGAATTTTTTGTCACTTGAGAATGACTGTAAAGATGCAAAGTGATGTACTTAAATTTCTAAGCCAAAGCCTCTACTAGAGATTTATATTTATCCTATGGTCCTATGCATTCTTCAAATGGTCATTTCCAAGGCAAGTTAGTCCATCTCATGGATCTGTTTGCCTTTTCCGGACAAATAATGTACATGCCCATTTTACCCCTGTCGGGACTTAAACTCTCAATCTTCTAATTTGGGAGGTGGCAAAGATAGCACCGGCTTACAATCCTTGGTGGCGCTTATACAAATAATCGGTGAATAATTCACTATATTATGAAGGGTAGTCTCAATTCGTTTCCGGAACAAATATGCAATTTGATCATTCTGGTGAGAAATTATTCAAGTAAAATATTGATTTGTTTGATTGAAATAACAGCTACAACAGTCTAGCATGATGTTGTCATTGTAACATTGTTTAGATCATCATCATCATATTTCACAATGAACTGTGAATATTCCTTGCCGTCCATGTAGCCAACATGACAACAATGAAAGACTATATACAAAGATCCAAAATTGCAATATATATTATATATACATTGATATTCAATCGATAAAAACTATGTGCAATGCTACCCTGCCCAAAATAATCTTTCGGAATCTTAGCTTGCCTAGATTCTTCCACAGAAATGAATGAAAACAGGAGGTTCTAAAGTACCAAAAACTGTAATTTACTGCATAATTTATAGTGAGCCTTTGTTGAGCAAAGATTGCAAGTTTTTTCGGTCATTTGATCTTTTGGGATAGGAGCTAAACCCTTCACAGTGACATCAATTTGTCCATGGAGACGACATACTGCATCCTACTCTTCATCTTCTAATATTTCCTGACAAAGCATTTCCTACAAAAGTACCAAAAACTCCCACCAAGCCCTTCGCTCTCATTTCCAGTAATAGGCCATCTCCATCTCCATCTCCTTAAGAAACCCCTCCATCGAACCTTAGCCAAGATTTCAGACCAGTATGACCCCATACTGTTCCTTCAATTTGGTTCTCGTCCCGTCCTCCTCATATCTTCCTCCTCTGCTGCTGAAGAATGCTTCACCAAAAACGACGTTGTCTTTGCCAACCGCCCAAGGCTGCTTGCTGGGAAACACCTTGGCTACAACTACACTACTGTGGTCTGGGCCTCTTATGGCCACCACTGGCGCAACTTGAGACGAATAGCTGCCCTTGAGATTCTGTCAACTAACCGCCTTCAGATGTTTGCTAGTGTGCGTAGTCAAGAGGTTCAATCACTCATTCAACGGCTTTTTAGAGGCTCTCGTGATGGTGAATATCACACGGTGGATATGAAGTCGGCCTTCTTTGAGCTGACACTCAACATTATGATGAGAATGATTGGTGGAAAACGATACTACTCTGGTGATAATGTGCAAGAATTGGAGCAAACAAGAAAGTTTAAAGAGATAGTGACCGAGACTTTTCAATTGAGTGGTGCGACGAGTATTGGTGATTTTTTGCCCATGTTGAAGTGGATTGGACTAAATGGGATTGAGAAGAGATTGAAGGCATTGCAAGAGAAGAGGGATGGCTTCATGCAAGATTTGATCGAAGAGCATAGAACAATGAGGGCTGAGCCTTCCGAGCAGAGGAGCAAGACACTGATTGATGTTCTCTTGTCGCTCCAAGAATCCGAACCTGAACATTATACAGATGCAATCATCAGAGGCATGATGCAAGTGAGTAGTTATCTGGTTTTCTATGCTTCTATAAGGTTATGAAAAACAGATAATTCAGCTAAACTAAATCAATTCGATCCACCTAATGAAAAAAAATAAAGGGGGAAAAAAAAAAAAAAAACATGTAGACTATTCCTTACAAACTATTTGGCAGAGTTACATACACTTGTTTGGTGCATACTGCACCCAAGATAGCTATGTTTGTGGTTCCAACAATTTCAATGGTTTTTTCGGATCAAATTTTAAAATGCAGCCGAAAATGTAAAAACAAAAATAAATATTTGACCTGTTGAAGCCCTGCATTTAATTTTTAAAGTAAGAATTAACAAGTAATGGAGCTAAAGCAAAAATGCAACACAAAAGGGCAAGAATGTCCTAAAATCAAGGGATGATGCACAATGAGCAATGCTATGCTAACCATCAATTTGCATACAGAAATGTCTCAGCACTTTCTTCAAAACAAGATGATTGAAGATGACCCAATGGTATAACCTCCCCGTCCTCAAAGAGGAGGGGAGGGATTCGAGTATGGTGTGGGCAAAAAGTGTGCGTGATGATCTTGTTTGCTCAACTTTTATGGAAGTTCATTTTCCTAAAGATTGTAACCTAAAGTCACCTTCTATACTACTAAAAGGTATTTTAACAATGCCAAGTATATCAATGCAGAAAGTAATGAAAATAAGTTAATTTTTAATCTGTAACAGGTAATGTTATCAGCAGGGGCTGACACTTCAGCTGGGACAATGGAGTGGGCACTGTCACTCCTGCTAAACAATCCAGAGGCCCTCGACAAGGCTTATGCCGAGATAGACATCCATGTTGGACACGACAGACTGATCAACGAATCGGACCTTGTTGCACTCCCTTACCTCCATGGCATCATCAAAGAGACACTCAGAATGTACCCTGCTGACCCTCTACTAGTTCCCCACGAGTCCTCGGATGAGTGTGTCGTGGGAGGTTTCCGCGTCCCACGTGGCACGATGCTGTTGGTGAACATGTGGGCCATACAGAATGATCCCAGGACATGGAAAGAACCAACAAAGTTCGAGCCTGAGAGGTTTGAGCAGGAGTTGGGAAGTGAGGGGTCCATGTTTTTGCCGTTTGGGTATGGGAGGAGGGGGTGTCCTGGGGAGAATTTGGCAATGCGTGTGGTTGGATTGGCATTAGGGTTACTAATTCAATGCTTTGAGTGGGAGATAGGTGGTGAGGAGTTGGTGGACATGAGTGAAGGGACTGGGCTCACCATGCCCAAAGCTCGGCCACTGCTGGCTAAGTGTAGGCCGCGCCAAACCATGGTGAAACTGCTTTCTCAACCCTGAACAAATTTGTGGGAATTTTGGTTAATATATTGGATTTTGATTCGAATTCGAGTCAATAATTAAGATATGAATTAGAATAATAATTTGTTAGCAATCAGGATAATTCATTAACTAAATAAACTGGATATAGATTATGATCGGTCTGAGTCCATAATAATTCGATCCAAAATTATATAATAAATAATATTATAATTATATTATCTAAAACTATAATATAATATTTATGTATTATTATAATGTTTTGTATCATTATTTTCTTCTTCTTCTTTTTCCCTCCCTTTATTTTGACTCTCTTATTATTATTTTTTTAAAAAAAGTAAAATACCTAATTTTTCTACTATTTTTTATTTATATTTTTCTTTTTCTTTTTCTTTTCTGACTTCTCTCTTTCTCCTGGTCATTGTTTAGTAAGCTCATTTGACATTAAATATTTTAACAAAAATTTATATTACTTTCGGTTCAGATTATCAAATTGAATATATGATTAATAAAAATTAAATATGAATTCAATCATAAATAATTCGTAGATAATTTTTATTGAATCTGGATTGGATCCGACCCAATTCAGTCCGAATTTGATTCTTATATAAGTTTACAAGCAAATAGTCAATTGAATTTATGAAGATCAACTAATTATACCTTCCAACTAGAAGATTTAGGTCAAATTTTAATAAGAGTAATGAGAGTGAATTTCTTAAACGAACATATATATATATATATATATATAAAATAAGCTGTACAAATTCTATTTTTGGATTCTTTCTCCACTACCGTTTAGTGCTCCATATACTATGATCGTTCCATTATATCTGTTCTTCTGTTTTTTTTTTTTAACAATAGCCTAAAATTTTATATTTTAAGTGAGGAAGACTACGAGCACAACAGAGACTTGAGCGTTAGAATTATTACAAGGTCAGCGATTATATTATCTTATCTCACACAAAATGTAATGAATATTTTTAAGTAAAACAAACATATTTACTATCACTAGAAATTTTGATTTGGAGATTATTATGATCCCAGCCCATGACAATTTGACATGTAAATATCTCAATTTTATTTATATTTTGCTTACAAATAGTCAAAACCACCTAGTCCCAAATCATATATATGTTAACTTTAATTCTGATTTATTTGATTTGAGACTGTGTGATTTCGAGAAAGGATGGCAATATTTGCATTTGATATTTCTTCAATTACAAAAAATATAATAATAATAATTCTTACTTTAACTTTAAAAATAAATAAATAATTTTTATCAAATGAGTACTCATGGAATCAAGATCCTCTCATGAGAGTAGGTAGTATGTTTTGAAGCACGTCCACAAATGAGTACTTTCAGCCACTAACTTTAACTCTTTAAAATATTATTTTATTTGAAAAAAGCTATGATTTTATTATTTTTTTTCTATTTTAAACACACAATAAAGAGGTATCATAAAAATAAAATTTAAATTATTTAATGGTCATTCCAAGGAAAGTTAGTCCATCTATTTTTGGATTCTTTCTCCACGAATATATATATATAAAATTAGCTGTACAAATTCTATTTTTGGATTCTTTCTCCACTATCGTTTCGGGAAGAATAAGGTGTACTACACTCTTTCTAATTTTAGTGGCAGTGGGGCTACAAATAAATTTGGAATTTTGGAGTATAAGTTGTGCTTGTTCAGTTATCTCTGTTCTTTTTTAAAAATTAGTCTACAATTTTAGATTTAAAGTGATGGAAGACCACTGTGCACGACAAAGAATCTGGACTCTAGCATTCTTATTGCATGAGAATTATTATATGGTCTCATCACACACTAAATAATAAATAAATAAATAAATAAAACAAATATTTTTATTAATTTACAAAAAATTTGACATAAAGACAACACGATCAGTTATAATTTGAGAAATTTAACATGTAAATGTCTTAATTTTATTTAAAAATTTCTTTGTAAATGGTGTTGTGATTGATCAAAACGGTGTTATATTGAATCATATAAATATTAAGTTGGGTATTAATTTACTTAGTTTGAGAGTATGTGATTTTAACCAATCACAACATGTTTAAATGAAATCCAAAATCAAATCAGAATTTCTAACAAAATTCTTAATAAAAGGAACAAATTTACTTTTGGAAATTGTGATTGGTTGCATCGTATGGTAAAAGTTTCTCTATTCGTACATGCACCGACATGTGGAGTACCTTTTCTTTTGCAATGGGTTGGCCCCATTCACAATGGTAAGGCCCCATTAACACTTTAACTATTTATTTTTCATTCCCGGAGGAGGCTCTGATCATATAGATTATCAAGTGATGGCATTAAAATGAAACTTTCAAAAGGATGTTCATGAAATGACCAACATAATTTGTGAAACAAATTCCGATATTTACAAAACAATTTCTCTACCTTTATTTATTTCTCTTTGTGTTTTTACAGATTCTCCAAAAAAACCGATTTAGAGAGAGACGAAGAAGCCGGTGAAATTATACGATGAGTGCTCCTCCACCAGAAGACGATACAGCCGCAGACACCAAAGAAGCAGAAGCGGACTATCTCTTGCATTCTCAATCCCCATCATCATCATCATTAGACGGCGAAAACGAGAACGATGAAGAAACGGGACGCAAAATCGGAGACAAGATCTTGGCCTTCGATGTCGAATCCAACGGCGGTGATGATCCCTCGGCGGTCCCACCATTCTCTTGGAAGAAACTGTGGGGGTTCACGGGGCCAGGGTTCTTGATGAGCATTGCGTTCCTGGATCCGGGTAACCTGGAGGGAGATCTGCAGGCCGGAGCCATCGCGGGCTACTCGTTGCTGTGGTTGCTGATGTGGGCCACGGTTATGGGCCTCCTGATCCAGCTCTTGTCGGCAAGGCTCGGTGTCGCGACGGGCCGGCACTTGGCGGAGATCTGTAGGGAGGAGTATCCGTATTGGGCTGGGCTTTTGTTGTGGTTCATGGCAGAGTTGGCCTTGATTGGGGCCGATATTCAGGAGGTGATAGGGACTGCCATTGCAATCAGGATTCTTAGCCATGGTGTGTTGCCTCTCTGGGCTGGTGTTCTTATCACAGCTTCCGATTGGTAAGTGATATTTGAGAGTCTTTTTGAATTTGAAGTGTTTACCCTTTTTGAATTCATGTCACTTGAAATTTTTGTTTCTTTTTAAGTATTATTTTTATTTTTAAGTGATATTCAATTGCTTTGTTAGAACTTAGAAGCTCATAAATTTAGTAAGCCCTTAAGAGCATTCGGTCTGTAATAATCAAACTTCTATCTACTTTTAAAATGGTAGAGTGCCAAGTCAGCATATTTTAATAAAATAGATAGATAATATACATTTTAGATTATGTTATAGAGTGTGGAACTCATTTTTTCATTGTCTACTTTATTATTATATAATTAATTTAGAAGTGATATGAGAGAAAAAGACAAATACAAGGACAGTCCATAATTAAATAATTGTGTCAAAATGGATGGATATACTCTCATTCTCCAACTGTGGACAATGCAATAGAGAACAACTAATGGGGTCCACAATTTTGCTACTCCACTTTTCACCCACACCGACTCTCCTTTTATCTACTTTATATAAATATTCTCTATTTTTTACTGCATCCCAAATGCTCTAATGCATTCAGAATTGACTAATCAAAATATTTTCAAGTTTGAAAAATGGTATTTAGAACTTTTTGCGAACCCCACATGAATACGTGCATTTTAATAAGTTTGGAAATTATTTTCAAAATAAATAGTCAAGCCCAATTACATGACCGAATCACTTATAACCTTCCGATGCATTAAGTAGGACTCACTTTAAGACATATGATGGAAGCAATTAATTTGGTCAACCCTAACTATTCACTTCAAATAACATTCGTCATAAGTTTTTATGGTGGTAAATGCTTGGTTGCTTAAAAAAAAAAGGACAATGAAAAGGAATCAATTAAAACAATATATATTCAATAATAGGGATGATATCAGAGTACAAAATTCAATGGAGTGATTATCCAAAAAAAGGTCCGTGCTCGGCTTGTGCACCTCAGCTTTTATTTATAGGCCCGGGCCCTTACACAAGTGGGAAGGTCCCTCGAGACTTTTCCTAGGGTAGCCCTGATGGCTTTATTGAGTACTATAGGGGTATTTCAGTCCTTTAACCTAGGGATAGGTACCATTACATTAAATACCTATCCTTTCAAAGGCGGCGGTAGCTGAGGCTCATAAATGTGATTTACATCTTCCCACTCGAGATGCGTGAGTATCTCGTCCTTTAGTTTGCGGAGGTACTTGACTCGAGTGGGCTCTGGTAACGTTAGATATGCCAGGTGGCTTTACGGGAGCTTAATCCCCTACAATTAGTCCCCGTGCGCGTGTGTGCAATCAGAGGAGAGCAGAGGCATGCAGAAGACGTAGGGTTTGTTGAGCCAAGGAAACGACAGACGTGATGGTTCAATTAATGCCTCTGATCAAAATGCCAGACGTGGATAATGATTACCTAAAGGGTTGCATCGTTTCCTGTTCCGTTAGTGGTGTATTTAAAAGAAAGCGGGAAGAAAAACAAAGGGTGTTTGGCAATTCCGGTGAAATTGGGTAGAAGAGATTTTTTTAAAAAAGGAAAGAAAATTGGGATTCTAGTCAAAGAGATTGTTGGTCAGAGAAGATGCCTCCCCGTAGGGAATTAAGCAAGAAGGATGAATTTCCACCATTTGTGCCACCGGAGTCGGAGTGGTATAAAGCTCCCTTTTTTTGGGGAGAATGACTACTTTTGGTATCGTTCTGAGCGATACGTGGAATAGGGTGGAATGTCGGCGGCAGCAGCGTTAATGGACATCAGAGGCTGAGATTAGGGCGGAGCCACTTGTTCCGGCTAGCTCAGTGTTTCGTTTCAATATTGAGAGGGGTTACATTCCGTTTTCTTTCATCGATCTGATGATGCATTATAGTCTGAGTAACGCCTGGGATGAATGGACGGATGAAATCATAGCGTCGTTGGAGTTGTTGCAGCGGTTACGTAATGCTAGGGTTTTAGAGTAAATCCGCTTGTTCAGGGCATTGACCATTCCTCGAGACCATGATGCTATCGAGATGTTGATGTCGAGATGGAGTACTATGATGGGGCCCACCCTTGAAGATGTGTGCCAAATATATGGGCTATCATTTGAAGGGTTAGAGAACCCTGCCACCCTGGTGTAGATGAAGAGGAGCATCGATTAGCAACACAGTTGCATCTGGCTGTCGAGGAAGCGAAACTTATGGGTTGAAGTTTGGCAAGGGTGGTGTAGAATTGCCCGAAGAGGAAAAGGGGGGAAAAAGTGTACTTTTGGATCTTGGACTAGAATGCATTTCAAAGATGTGCAGACAGTCAAGAGAGGAGTTCCTGACGAACAGAGGCGTAGAGTTTTAGGGAAATGGTATGGTTGAGATGTTGGGCTAGCTGCCTATCTGCTATGCTGGCTGTCGAGATTAATTTTGGAGAGTTCGCCTGAGGACACAGTACATTTGCGACTTATGGAGATGGCAGTAAAGTTGTCTCGAGGTGTTCCTCTGCCATTGGCACCCTTGTTTCTGGGCTCTCTTTATCACCGGATGGACATGGTTGTCATAGACTCAGTGCGTTCGGTTGGGCGTTTTGTGATTCACTCACATGCCTCGAGTATGTTTTTGCAGCTGTTTCTGTATGAAAGGTTTGCTGCATACGCTCCTCGAGAGAGGGAAGTACCTTAAGGCGTAGGGATGCAAGCGTTCAGATGGCGTGGTAGGGCGCCTCGAGTGGGACTGACAAGTGTGGTGGACTTGAGTCACCAGTACACATTTCGTCCTTATGTCGAGGAGGTTCCAGGAGTGCAGCCATTACTTTTATATAATGAAGAAGATGGCTATGTAGAAGCTGGACCAGATGAGATCAGCAATAATCATCTGATATTTTAGGCATTCGTGACTCCAGGGCCGTTGCCTGCCTTGCTAGAAAATTCAATGTCAGTGGAAGTGTATAATCCGACAAGACTGGCGAGGCAGTTTGGCTACTGTTGTAAATAAGAGCAAGAAAATAGAAGAGAAGATTTCTTGTATATGACTTAGATGTGAGTACATGTGGGTTTATATAGGAACCCAAGACATACACTTAGTACATTAATTTAGCCAATTACCATAAATTAAGCTAATCAAAATCCTATAATCAAGCTAGCAGATTTTATGCATCAGAATATTCCTATAATCAAGCTAGCAGATTACATGTAGCAGAATAGTCAACTTTCCTAATTAATTACAGGCTGTAAACAGCCTATATTCACGACACTCCCCCTCAAGCTGGAGAGTAGATATCAACAACTCCCAGCTTGCTGCAAATAGAGTCGAATGCATTCTTTGGAAGAGCTTTAGTGAAGATGTCAGCTAGCTGATTGCGAGAGGGCACAAAAGGAGTCACAATCTCTTTTTTTTCATAAATGGTTTTTGTATAAAAGGAAAAGATAAATATTTACAAGTGCACAGAGGGCATACCCTTAGAATTTTACTGGAAAGTACAGATTCTTAATGAAGAAACATTTCCAATAAAAAAAAAAAAAAAAAAAAAACAACAACAACAACAAACTGTAAACTAGAGAATGTCTCTAAGAGAGACATTGTAAACATCTAAGACCTCAAACATAATTTGTCTAGCCACCTCAGAAAAGGGACTAGAATTATTTCCATGTAGTCTTTTATTTCTTTCTTTCCAAATACTCCAGCCCAGCAACAAATAAATTTTGAATCATTGTGCTAGTCTGTTGAGTGAACCATAACAACATGTCATCAATAGTATGAAGTGAACCTAAGTCCAACCCCAAACCAAGAGCATCCTTCAACCAGTTCCAGAAATGTCTAGCAAATGGGCATTGAACAAAAATATGATTTCTGGTATCAATCTGGTGTAAACAATTAGAGCATCTTGGAGCCAATTGCACTTTCCTCCTCTGCAAATTATACATTGTAGGTAATCTGTCTTGAAATAAAAAGACACCATGAATTGACCATCGAGGCTTGGCCTTCCCCCAACAGATTTTGGACCATAAAACATCTGGATTAGTAACTCTATAACCCTGCCAAGCTTTTTTGAAAGCAAAGTCACCACCACCCCACAGGAACTTATCTGATCTAGCATGAATAAGCAATGTAAGCAACTAGTCTTTAATAGGCCTGAAAATTTCATCTTGCAAGAGATCAAAATTCCAAGCACCATTAATTAAAAGACTGGACAAAGGAGAAGACCATGAAAATCCCAGCCTTCTAACCATTCTGTGACCAAATTTATGTAGAAGAGTTTCCCCCTCACACCAAGGATCTGTCAAGACCTTAAATAGCTGCCCAGTACCTATTGAGAATTGGATGTTATGTAGCATAATGTCCCTGACATTAATCAAATTTTTCCACAAAATGGAATGAGCAACCTTTGGAACTGCATTCCAATATGTTAAATTGGCTGCATGTCTTTTTTGAAACCAAGGAACCCAAAGACGATCTTTACTTAGCAAGAAATCCCAAGCCAAAACACAATGGGAAGCAACCTGTAATTCCTTCAATGTGAAGCCACCTTAGAATGAATGAAATGACAATCCACTTTAATGTGTTTTGTCCGTTCATGAAAAACTGGATGAATGGCGGCTTGGTTATCACAATAGAGAGGAGTTGGATCTTGCACTGAGATTCCAAACGCTTGTAGAAGGCTTCTCAACCAAGTTAGCTCACAAGTTATGTGAGCCATTGCACGGTATTCAGCCTCAGCACTAGATCGAGCAACAACTGATTGCTTCTTACTTCTCCAAGTCACAAGATTACCCCCAATAAAAGTACAATAACCCGTAGTTGATCTTCTATCTGAGGGAGAACCTGCCCAGTCTGCATCAGTATACCCTTCAATGTGAAGATGTCCTGAAGATTGGTAAAGAAGACTACGGCCTGGAGCACATTTGAGGTACTTTAGAATGTGTACAACTGCATTCATGTGAGGGACCCGTGGGTTGGTCATGAATTGACTCACCACACTGACTGCATATGAAATATCTGGTTGAGTGATAGTCACGTAAATTAGCTTACCAACTAGTCATCTG